TTTACCGTCTCATGGTTATCGTCAGTTTAAAAAAGAATTATGTAGTATAACAGTAATCTGTTTTACAAAAAGTAAAGAAAGCCACTTAATCGTTTTATTAAATAGATTCCTATAATACAAACCAATTTTGGGTCTTCGTGCTCACCATACGCTTGCCGTTATCAGCTTATATTAATCTTGTGATAAATTCTTTGTGGGGTTTTAACTAGTAAAAAAAAAAATAAGGTCACTTTTTAACTTTGGGTTTTAGTATACTGTATCAGATATCATAGATGAATAAATATGTACGTAAAAACGTAGATCGAATGTACGGGTACTCGAGCAGTAGTTGCCAGTTTTTTTAAAAAAAAAATTTTATTAAACCATGTAATTCATGTAATTCATGTAATTAATGTAATTCATGTAATTTATGTAATTCATGTAATTCATGTAATTTATGTAATTTGATTTTAACCTATAAAAAAATATGAATAGAAACTTACTGCGGACAGGGATAAAAACAGTCTCCGCGTTTTTATCGTCATTTTATTTATTTATTATTATTATTATTATTATTATTATTATTTTAGATTCAAAACAAAATATCACAATAATTTCCTTTTGATAAATTACAGATGCTTTGGGACTTGAATGTTAATTTGTGTGGAACTTATTTATAACTTTACTAAATATAATAAATTTGAATCTTACATATTTGTTATCAAAATAAATGATATCAATATCAGGATGACATATACTTTTACTTTACATGCATTTTATTTTCGTTTGAATTATTGTAATAATAATATATTGTTATTAATGATATCAATCTTCGTAATCACTTTTTTATTATTGAGTCTAAATTTCCTTTTGGTGACTGGTTTATGAAAATATATCATATGATCTGTATGAATTAAGGTTTGCAGAGTCACACTTCTTAATAGGAAAGTGATATATTTACGTGAATTTTTGATATTAACGTTTACAGTAATTGATGAAAAAACTGGCACTTTATTACTCTTTATTATAGTGAATGCGCGGATTTACCTTGTCGAAAGAATGCATGAAAATAATTCACAACGTTGTGGAATTCTTAGTTTATCCTAGGTTGGTTATAATTATGTGCTTGCAGAAATTTTCTGTGTACAAAAAATGCAGGACAAAAAAAAAAGAAGCCTTGTTCTATGAAATTATGTTATTCTCAATTATTCTCAATTATTCTCAATCATTAAACATGCACTTTGCTGCTTAAATCCGGTGACAATGGATAAAACCTTAAATAAATTTTTCCTTTTTTTTTTTTATATTCATTTTTACTATTGAAGGTTCTAGTCTGATCGATTTTTCAATATTAATATTGATAAAATGATATTGAGAAATGATTTATTTTTTTGCGTGACCCTCCAACATCAATAAACACCAATAAACTTGCGTTTCTTTACCTAAGTCTACCTAAAATAATTTTATAACTAATATATGGGGCCAGTCATGCAATGAGGTCAACTACAAATGTAAAAAGAAAGGACGAAACAGATTAAAGTTGAACTGATCGGATAATTTCACACCGATATTTGGTAATTTATATGATTTCAAATATTTCAAATTCTTTTTTTTTTTTTAAAAAAAAAAAAAGGTCTATGAAACAAAAACAATCTTCCGGTTTCCGAGGTTGAGGCGTAAGATAGGACTGGAACGTTCTGTATCCATCATACAGTCATACTCACATCACTCACGTTTTTGTGACACGAAAATATGGAAAAAAAGTTTCGATTTTTTGGAAATGTGGTCAATTTTCTTTGTTTCAGTATTATTAATATCATCATTAAAGATTTCTTATTTGGCGCAGTTAAGTCTTAATATAACTTATAAACAAAAGGTGCGTCTAAGGTCAAAAAACTATATGCTACTGCCTTCCCTGTCAGTCAATCTTGACTTATTAATTAGTATATAATACTTTATAGTGTAATAATGTAATATATAGTATATATGATGTATATCCAATATAACTTTTATACTATAGTAATATTTTATAGTAAACATAATATATATTTTAATCAGTAATAAGGTTATGAAGCGCTGAATGCTTGTTTTTTTTATTTGCTATAATAATTTACTATATTTAATAATTTAGAGTAAGTTACTAAATTACTAGAGTAAATAATAAACATCATTATATATATAAAATTTTAAAGATACTATATTACAGAACAGACTACGTAAAGATTCCTTTTTAATAGGATTTTTTTTTAATAGGATTTTTTTTTTATTAAGATCTTTTTTTCAGAATCTTCTAAATCCTATTTAGGCGTTTGATATGGGCGTTATAGTACGCGGGTAAATTTCGGGTCTTGCCGCCTCATAAATGTGGGGTCATAATCTAATTATCGACCAAAAAGTAAATCGTCCACGCGATAATAATTTATAATAATTGAATGCAACAATGTTAATATGTTAATTAGTAAAAAAAATCAATTAACATGTTAACTATATAAAAAAAAAACGACTTTTTTTTGGAAATTAAGGTTAGCACAAAATAAATGAAATTTCTATTTTTGAAGGCCATGAACAAAGGTATTTCTTTTTGGACCCTTTTATTTTATTAACTTTTTGTCTTTCTCTCTTAGACTTTGTCACTAAACTAGCATGTTGGTATACTAGCAGCATGAACGAACTATTTGAACTCTATTGTCACTCTAGAATCACGTGTATTAAAAGTACTGTTATGATGAAATATTAAATATTGAAGCAAAAAAAACTGTAATATTCATGTTTACTACAATATTTTTACAGTATTTTTTCAGTATTGTTTCAGTATTTTTTCAGTAAATAGTTCAAGAACGAAAATAAAGAGAAAAAAAAAAGGAATCAAAAAGTCATAATTGTATATAGTTAAAATTGTATATAGTTAAAAACACTACGAATGTAAACCTATTAAGTTAACCCTTGTCTCGATATCATTTTAATTATCTTGGGTATCTTTTTCATCGAATCGACATATTACGCATATATTATGCATATTAAAAGTATTAGGGATTTGTGATTATCAATGTGATTTAGGTGATTTTATTATATGTCGTAATAACAGTAATTGTGATTAATTACTGTAATAACTACCTAACTTTACTTGTCTCTATTTAACTCTAACTATTTCTAGTATCACATACATTTCTCCGATAACGATAACCCCAAGTTATATATTATTGCATTTAAAGGACAATTGTTGTAGATCTACGGGTATAGTTATAAATTTTTTTGTATATGATAAATAAATCAAGTAAACACGCGTGAATTAAACATATTAATAAATTTGATCTTAATGAACCAGTTGTGATTAAGGAGATATTCGGACTCCGACTAGCTTTATTCTGAGAATACAAATTAAATGCTCTAATAATGAATCGAAACCAAAAATGACAAGCAAACACGAGCTCTCGCCACGCCTAAAGATCAACAAAATAGCAACAAATTGATGATCTTTACTTACTTGAAGTTTGATTAACCACTCGCATAAAAATTACATACTTTTTGTTATTTGAACTTATTAAAGTTCGTTCAATTCGTTCAATTTCGTTCAATATTTGGAAATCTGAAAAAACATACTTGTATGTAGACAATAATTCTTTAAAAAAAATCATTGTGATAAAAACAATCACATTATTTTGAATGTTTATGTTTGAAAGGGAAAATTTGATAAATATTACAGTATACTTATGTACAGTATGTGTTATCGAAAGATAGAATTTCCTGCACTGGTTATATTTGTTTATTTTTTTGACGATAAAATTTATCTTTGCAGACAAACTTTTGATTTTGTTTGTTACTCTCATTAACTATCCGCATGTTTAAAAAAAAAGTTAATTCCACACGAGAAAGTTATAATATCCGATCATACACCGAAACAAACACCTTGATTCGGTAAAAATTCGACTAATATCAATCTATTTTAGAAACAAATACTCAAGCGATCAATATTAACGAAAATTTAAAAACACATTTTTTTCTTTGCACTCTTTCTTTGTATATAAATTATAAATAATTATGATAATAATTATAATAATAATAATAATAATAATAATACGTGTAATAATAACGATAATAATAATAACGATAATAATAATAATAATAATAAATATTACTGATATTACATACAGTATTACTGATGCTATATGACCGATATCATGGCGTGCATCATTACCTTTGAAGGAGCTTAGGCTTTTTTCAATTCTCGCAATCTAACATACAAACTTGTTGACAATAAAGTTGAACGTATGGGTGACCGATCCCATTTCCTATTTATGGATGATCTGCTCGTTTTTTTATCTAAAAAATTGCGCGAATGACCTATTATCTTGTAATGGAAAATGTTATTTATCATTAATTGCATTTTTTTTTTTTAACTGGTAAATTACGGTAATGATTGAATTTATCTTACAATAAAAATTTAAATCCTGTTCGAAATCATGAATTCTATCAATTAATTTCTTGTGATTTTGGTAGAGGTTTTCTAATATTAGTAACATTTTAATATTAGTATATGATAATACTAGGTATGTCAATAATTTTCAGTAATATTACTTACGTAGTATAGTAATATTAATGATGGGTTTATAAATATATATCCCCAAATTAGAATTTTTTGTGAGTAAATTTAATCTAACAAAGAGTTTGTACAATCGATTTGGAAAAAAAATTGGGCCGGTTAAATTAACCCTATTATATTACATTTACAGTAGCTAATTAATTATTTACAGTAAATGGGGTCCAAGAATTTAGGGTTGTTTGTGTGTAAAAAAAAAAACATTAACAATTAACAATATGACTAACAGTATAACAGTATAACAGTATAACAGTATAGCAGTATAACAGTATAGCAGTATAACAGTATAGCAGTATAATAGTATAACAAGTATAGTAGTTACAGATATCAATTACTATCAATTAATGTAAGTAAGAGAACAACAGAGATCTTTATAAAAATTCTTATAGGACTAAAGTAACGCAAATAATACCATCGCCATAACATGGCTGTTATAATAAGCCATTCGTCATTCGTGAGGCACATTCCATACTCTAAGCAAAACATCGTACCGTATTCTGCTAAGCCACCCCAACATTTGAGTATGTTTGTAAATATTTCTAAAAAATTTTATGGCTTAACTTTCATTTTTGCTGGCTTGTTAACTTTGAAAGATGCGTACGTACGTGCGTACGTGTAAGTGACTATCTGCTATCTGCTATTGTATACAAAAAAAAAAAAAATCGTGTCTAATCACTTTGTATACACGTAATTCATTATATGCATGTATGTAGATCGGCCCAAATTTTATTATATTTGTATCATTAAATGCGGGAGAGAGGGAATAATGAGAATGTTGAACCTAAATTAACTTTAAAAAAAAAATTCGTATACGATACAAAATTCGAAGGTTGCTTCCATTACATAAATGATGATAAAATGGAATGATAATCTTTATTATATACAGTATTTCAAGGAGAACAAGATGAAAAAAAAAAAAAAAAAAAAAGAGATGATGAAGTAAACGTGTTAGCACGTACATTTAAAGGAAATGAGTCATGGAATGTTATACGGAAATTTTTTTTTCTCTCTCTAAATTCTAGAACTTTAAACTTATGATACTTATGCGTTGTAATTTTATAATTTGCAGGGATAAAGATTTTTAAAATAAATATCACAAGATTATCGCATAATTCATACGTACAGTATATGCATCAAATTTATTTACATTTGTGACTTGTATGTACATACGAACATAAATCCCTATCACAAAAAAAAAAAAAAAAGATGCCAAAATTATCTTAACAGCTATGATACATACAAGCGAAGGAATAGAAACAAATTAGTTAATAATTCTAACTCAGCCATACGATAAGGTCGTACTCGTTGGGTACAATTAACACAAAGGAATTTCAAGAGTAACATAATTCTTATACGCTATATAAGGAGAATCACTTTCAAAACAAAGACTATAAGTATCCGTTTCGATATTACAGTAACAAAAAAATGGTATCGATATTATCGATATTATCGATACTATCAATATTGTCTTTTGAATTGGTTCATTAACGTACGTTAATTATCCGAATATGTGTTTCAAAAAATACATAACAGATAATTCCGCCAGTAATACGTAGTAATACGTAGTAATACGTAATAAGTTACGTATAAGTTACGTATATAAAGACTTTTTTTCGCGGGAAAAACTTGAATTGGTGGAATTATAAAAATTGAACTCCTTTGTTCTCTCCGGCTCGTTATTTAAAAGGAAGGGATTTGTTAACCGAATTTATCAAGATCATGAAACTTATTATCCAGACAATTCTCTCACCCCATAAATTTTTGATAAATTTGTTAAAAATTTTCATTAATTAGTATTTTGTGACATGTAAATCAAGGTAAGAATCAGGAGATAATTAATGACTAAAGTTGAGAAATTAAAATATCAACAACGATAATTGTTTGTAGAAGTTTCTTAAGAATTCATTTCACTTTGTAACTCATCACAAAAACATTTCTTTTTACAGACCAAATTCTATTAATTAATATACTGTACAATATACAGTTTGTAAATTACATATAAAAAAATAAGACACATCTTTTTATTGACGATTATTATTTAATATATAAATAAAAAAGTAATATTTTAACATTACTTGAAACAATTTATCGAAACTTTTTACCTTTTTGATCGGAAGAATTTATGACAAGCTTAGTCGATCCAATAATTAAAACTTTATTGATTTAACTAATGATAACCAACCGATGATAAGAATGATGAACGTAAATACTTACAGAAAATACAGAAAATACAGAAAATTTAATTTAATGAAGATCAAAATAAATATAAAGTGAAAATCGTCCAAGGAAAAAAATACATGGATTTTCTATATATTAAATGTATCTTTGTTAATTTACGTTAATTGGTTTGTTTGCTTACACAGGAAGATTATCATAATGTCTGATAAAGTTTGGAGTAACTTTCCCGATTCGTTCATGAACGACCAATAATCAGCTCTGCAGCATGATGTATGCTATGTCGGTTGTATTTAACGACATTATCCGAATGTTACTACTTTCAGTAGTGAAGTAATATAATTTACCAACCAAATGTATCTTGCTTGCACCTTGTTCCCCTTCATACTCAAAGAGAGGCGCCGTACCCGAGATCCATATTATATTATTTAAAATATTATTTAAAATATTAAAAATATTATTAAAATATTAATTTAAAAAAAACAAACTTTTTTTTTACTTACAAAAAATGCACTATTCATTGGTGCTTTTAATTAAGTTATATATATATATATATATGCGTATATATATATATATGTATATATGTTGAATATCGTATGTGCAACTCATACATTGGTGCTATGTAATGCAATAAGAAAAAAAAGAAAAAAATTATTTTCTCTTTTTTTTTTTTAGCAACATATTTTACGATGAAAATTTGCGGCAATATTTATTCATTTTTAAGTTATTTTGCAGCAAAAAAATTCCCAAAATTTTTTTTCGAAATACAAGGATAAGTTTGAAATAACTGCGCCACACATATAAACAATAAATATTTGATAGACAATCCCATTTTTTAATATAAACAAACTAATACACCGGGTATTTAAAACTAACCAAACAAACAAATAATGACAAAATATCGAGTTTTTTTTCAGTTCTGATATTAAAAAAGAAAAACAAAACAAAAAATAAACACATGCAGGGTCTATTTTTCTTTCAAAACAAAGCTAGATAGAAAAAGATTTCTTTTTTAGTCCTGATGTTTTTTAGTATGTACAAAAATCGATCATTTAAATGTCCATTGTTCTCTCATTTATAGCATTGATTTTGGAATAAACCTAAAGTCGATGGTTAAGTCATTTCTAATGATTAAAATAAGATATGATACGATTTATCTTGATTTGCATGATACGATTAAATAAAATGGATAAAAATATCATACTAATGTTTACTATTACAATAATAATAATAATAATATTATTATTATTATTATTATTATTATTATTTGATACTTTTTAAGTGAATGCTTGTTGTCTTTTTGATGAATAAGAATAAAACGACATAATTTTAACATAATTTTATTGGTCAAGTTATAACTTATCATAATGAGATAAAAGTAATTCTTTAAGATTATCAATTGGTCAAGTGAGCGGAATCCCCCCTTGAAGATCTTTCGCAAAATTTGAAAGGTTTTGTTTTTTTTCATTAAATTTATTTTTGGTGTATGTTACGAAAATCCCGCGGGAAAAAAAAATTTTATGAACCGATAAAAAATTCGTAATTTAAATTAAATTAAATACTAATAGCAGAACCAATTATGGAAACATTCTTTGATGCGTTATTTGAAATTTTATTTTATTTTATTTTTTGTGATCGTTTATATTTAATACTGTACGTAAAATAATAATATCCCCCGTATATGCCTTTATAAATGCAAAGTTTTTTCATCGGAAAATGTAATTCGTGCATAAATAAATGAAACTATCAAAATTTCAAAAATTTATTAAGTTGATAATTTGAATAATTCCAAATTTTGAATTTGTTTTATCAAATCGTAGAAATCGTGGATTAAAAAATTTGAGTATATTGCATATACTTTATACGTACTATTTTTTACCTATCATAATTCTGTAATTCTGTAATTCCGAAATCAATTAAATCAATTGTTACATATATATGTAATGAACATAAATAAACATACTTTAATACTTTAATACTTTAAATTATTTTGAACATTAATTAATTCCAAATATAGTAGCATACGCTTCCTTTTTGGTTAAATAGGGGGTTAAAATACTTACTTGATTAAGATAAAGAAAATAATCGATTTTCCACTAATCCATTAAATGAATAGACCTACACAAAGGCCCAATTTTTGAAAATTTTTTTTTTTTTGACCCCTTTATAAAGTTGTACCCACGTTCTTCAAAGTACTGTACCACTAATCTAGGTATCTTTGTTTAGGTTGTACAGAAACCAAGAATGTCCCCATGTGACTTGACTGTGTGGGACAATCAGTATACCACCAACCTTTTCCTTCAGGTCTAGAATTTTAAAACCATTTCCTATATTCGATAAATAAGAACTTATCAGAGTAAGTTATAATTACACAACCTAGTAAAGAGATAAAGGGTAAAATTCATTTTGTGTCGCGTTATCTTTATAATTTCAAATAATTAAAAAAAAAAAAGATGATATAGAAGTATGAACTAGACTAAAATAATTAGTTAACGAAATACGCGTGGGCATACGTGTTTTTTTTTTTGATTTACCATTTATATTCATGATCCGCTTCGATATCTTTGCCACGTTTTTCTTTCTTGCTTATTTTCCTAAAAGAGTTTTTTTATCTGATGTGTAAATTCTATAAAGGATTTTAATTTGATTCGTGCTTGGAAACTGACCATGTGAAAAGCTCATTTTGTTAATATTCCAAAAACGGTGTTCACATACAAAACTTCCCACAACCAGCAACATTAGTAAAAATTACCATTCTGATCGCAGTAACTATCATTGTACTGTTGCATGTTGCACTAATAAAAGGTGTGTAAAAGAAAATTCTTTTGGTAACACTTTATTATAGAAAAGGGTTCCAAGAGATAACATAACTGGACAGGTTACATACAGTATTATCGCGTTGCAGATATAGATAGGTATAGATCAAATTCGCACGACAAAAGATAACGAAAAGATAAATATCATATATGCATTCACTTACAAATCTACATACAAAATCTACTATATGCAAATCTATTATATACAAATCTATTATCTTTTCTTAATGCTCTTGTAATTTATCATTTCCTGCAGGGGAATTGAAACCTTCTCACTTAACACGTACAGCAGTGATGTAAAGGTGAATGTTGACTAGCTTTTTCAGGATATATTGATTGAATGCATGTTAACTAACTAGTAATTGTCTAGTAATTGTCTAGTAATTGTCTAGTAATTGTCTAGTAATTGTCTAGTAATTGTCTAGTAATTGACTAGTGATTGACTAGTAATTGACCGGTTATCGTGCATAGCTCTTCCGATATGTACTCATTGTAATGAAATCAATAAATTTTTTTTTTTTTTTCGTACAGTATTATTGTTTTCTTAAAATATACTAGTCTAGATCTGTTATCTTTCGTTTTTTTTTACTCTCCCAAATATTTACTAATATCACGACATATTCGTTTTTTCTTTGCTTGTTGAGTGCATACCAACAAATATTCAGAATAGAACATCGTGAGCTCAAATTTACATATTTATGAATCAACATATGCACAAAAAAAATACCCCGACCACAAACTGACCTATTACGGAACCTCATTTAGAAATTTATATCCTAAACGTCAAAACATAAATCCATTTTCCAAATAAAAGCAAATATATCAAAACTCATCAAAATAAAATATACACAAAATAACTCAAATACGTTTATTAAG